GAGGATGCAAACTTTTGCAACGAGAGGGTCGCTGATGGGCGTTCGAATGCAGTTAGTTCGCCCTACATTTTTTTCTTCACGTTGTTATTTTCCTGACCCGTTTCTGCAAAAAAAAATTATGTGACCGTTATCGTAAAGAATCACCGACAACTCCAAGTTCAATTCATTTGACAATGCTCGAGACAAAGCACAATGCTAACGCGATCAGAACCCTGCGAGGCGAGAGGGGACTCGGGGCAAGGAAAAAAAAAAAAAAAAAAAGCACAGCACCACCAATCTCACGAGTTGACTTTGTGTTTGGGGAAAGCGTTATCCGTCCGCCAACATTTGTTACAAACTCACGGGGCGCACTCCTCCCACCCAAACTTCTGCACCAACCCAAACGCAAAGCAAGAAGCGGCCGGACAGAGCCAGTGTCTGTGCGCGCGTGTCTGTGTGAGGCGTTGGTTTATCTCTAGCTTCTCTCGCCTCCAGCCGGGCTAAACACATCCCATTATCCGGTGCTGAGCCCTATCTTCTCGGCATTTTCACTCAGAAAGAAAAAAATTGCAAAAAGTCCACACATACCGGTATTGTCCTTCCCGCTAACCTCTTCGCGTCTAAATAAAGAGCGAGTTGTTGCACCTTCCGAGTATACCAGGACACGGCGCAATATTACCACGGGGTTGGTGAGTAAAAAATAATAAACCGTGTGGTTCTAATGCCAGAGTAATCCCACCCCAACTCACACTCAAGGAGCTAAGCCAAGCATAATGTTTTCTTTACTCTGACACAGATGTGCTGAGATAAACTGAAATTTTCAGAGTAAATGTTATGCCGCATGATGCCCAACAGGCGCAAATCTCAGAGCAGTACAAATTTGAAATTACATTTGTCATGTGCTTATCTCTGTTTAAAAAGACTATGTTGTAGTACTGCACCGCATTTAGTCAAATGGACACAGTGGAAATAAATACAATATACGTAATTTAAATTACCTTACTCAGAAGTATATTAAAGCTGCAATTTAAAACTTTTTTGCCCATTCACCTGAGCTGAAAATGACAGTTAACAGCTTGGAGTTTCCCTTTTTACAAAACTACATAGAGGTGACATTTTGACAGGTAACTATAAACATAAAGGCAAAAACTGTGGAGAGAAGGTGGGGTGAAAATGAAATGCATGTAGTACTCACAAAAATCTTGTCGTTTCGACTGCCAAAAAAGGGAAAGTCAACGGTAAGGTTGATCTTCCCTGAGCTCCCATCGTCGGATCGCTCCGTCATGTTATCTCCGGTAGCCGTACCAAAAGGAAAGAACGCTGTGACTGGCACCGATCGGGCAGGTCTGGGGCTCTGGGCCAGCAGGACGCAGAGACTGAGGAGCAGCAGACGCGTAAAGCAGCGTGTTGAGGCCGGCCGTACTCGCGCAGGTATCACTGAGTGGCTCAAACCTGCACATGAACACATTATATTCACAGGGCATCAAGGGGTTGATTTTGGTAGGGGGTTCAAGGTAATCCAACCTGGGTGAACGACAACACGCTGAAGATGATGATGACAGCAATGGTGAAAATGATGATGACGAAAAAGACTGCTGCGACTGAAGACGATTAAAGCTGCAGGAATCTTGGGTTTGTGTTAGTGGACTCATGTCGGATGCTTCGAAGTGGTGGGACCAAGCAGGTCTCGTCGGCAGTTGCTGTAGCTGAACAAAGCAGTGGGTGAAGGACGAGACGCTGGATTGGGCCAAAGGTTCAAGTTCGGGTCCTTGTTGTAACTTTCATATAGAGAAGGCCCACAATGCACTGGCAGCGCACAACATGGAGGCATGTCCCAGAACACATTTACACACTAACAACACAAAACACAGTAGGCAGCACACCTCTGAATTTACTTCCTCCTGAAGTCCAGTTATACTGTGTAGATTTTCGTTGACACATTAATCCACTGCGTTAATCCAAGTCATTGTTTGTGAAGGGTAATCCACGGCCTGTGGTGAGGATAAAGCAAAACACAAGTAGATCATTAAAAATCATTGTGAGGACAAACTGCAGTACATTCAGAAACTATAATTTCATACTTGCCTCTATTACAATGAATAATTCAATAACCCCTCCCCCCACACAAACACGAACAACATGACATAACATATTTTAAAAAGTCTCCAAAGAACATTACGGGGAGCGCATGTCTATGAAAAGATGTAACGAAAGCATAAGCAATATCAAAATGAATCTAAAATGGAATTTTTCCGTTTAAGTACAGATGAGCCATTCTCAGAAAGTCAGCCTAGAAATGTTTAAAACAAAACCAAATTTTTATCTCACCAACATTAAGCTTATTATATAGAGTTTAGTCCAACTTTTATTGGCTTTTTATGATCTCGAAAATTTGAATGAAAAAAATTATCAGATACAGAACTTTCACAATTATACAATGAAATACTGGTACTATATACTACTATACCATACTATAAATGATTTTCATTCAAGTTTTGTGGCGATTACTAGACTATGGAAGTATCTTAAGTACCCTGTGGAAAAAACAGTGTGACTCTCATGTCCAAACCCTACAACCGACAACCACTTTCATTTTTATGGAAACATAAGTTACATTTTGGCACTTTTCTTTATCTAATTTTAACGTACCCTTTGAGTGCTAATTGGTAAGGAAATCGTGACCGAGCCATTTGCAATTTTAAGACATCCTCTTTACAATGTAACAATAATCAAAAATACAATTCATGACACACTTTCAATTATTATTGAAATGTATTTTGTAAACTTGTGAGTACTTTCGCAAATTACATCCACTTATTTACTTTTTCATTGAAAATGCTGAATTTTCTCCTATATAAATTCTTCTCTTGTGTCGTTTGCCCGTCAATAAAAAAAACCCAACCTCTCCAATAAAAAGTATCCCCCCCCCCATGTTTTCTTTATTAATTTGTTTAGAACTGTTTCAAGAATTTTTTTTCTCAACATGAACAAATTGAAAATTCAATGCATTTTGTGACCCATGCAATATGTAACTATCTTTCAAAATTCATTAAAAAAAATTAAATGTTCCCTACATTGTGCAAATAAAATAAAAGTAAAAAACCCCCAAACAATGTACAAAATTAGCAAATCAAACCATGCTGCTGCCACAGTTTTGGCGAAACAAACGGTTCCCAATGTACAAGTAACATCGGACCCAGAGCGGTAATAATAACAATGATAAGAGCAGGTGTGCGATCTGCAAACTTTCTACCATCGTTCTTTGAAAGACAGAGTAACAATATTATGGAAACACAACTTTTTAGTGATAATAGTAATTGCATTTGCACAGCGCATATCAACGCTCGGCAAAATATATTCTACGCGGTTTTGTTCAAATTTTGTTCAGAGAAGTCATAAATTTCATAAGAATGAATTATGAATGTAATTTATTAGGATATGATATGCTTATGGATGCACCTGCAAAAGCAACAGTTTCTTTTTGTGTACGCGTGTATGTGTTGGTGATCTTATTATTATTATTATTATTATTATTATTATTATTATTCGAATGTGTGTGTGTGTGTGTGTGTGTGTGTGTGTATATGATCTTATGCAGTTGCAAGCGCT